GTAGCATCTTTCTCATAAAAATAAATAAATAAAAAGATTATCAATCCACAATCAAACCATACATGCTTCAAGGGTAATTAATGTGTTGCTGCTCTTTGGATAAGGTATTCATGAAAAAAATGTTCTAAAAGTTAAAAAACCCTACTCTAAGGGTACTTTCACACAAGCACTTTTGGTCCGCACCTGGGTTAGTTTGACGTCATACTATGGTACGTTTAGCTAGAGTGAACGTGTCTTCTGAACTCGGGTGCGCACGTGTAAATCGTACCAGAGTCCGCCTGAAAGAGGTGGTCTGGGGTACGATTCATGCAAACTCTGGTATGGCTCACCTCTGATGTGAATGCAATCGTACCAAATAACAGAAGTAAACCGCCAACTGTACAACAAACTATCGTTTTTTACAATGTTCGTTCGTGTGACTCCTTGGTGACACTCGCGGGACTGAGCCAGGGCAAACAGTGATACACTGTGATGCCTGCTTGTCTCCTCCAAAAACACCTTCTGCAGTCACTGTGTGATGTTCTGAATGTTTATAATATTTTTGTGGCAAATGGATGCAAGTCGCTTTCTGTATGTCCAAAACCAAAAGCTTCAATTAAAGCAGAATGACTGCGATGTGCGGACGTCTTTCCATTTCAGCGCTTGCTTTCGTGACAGTCACCCAGCAACCACTGTGAACAAAACAGCAGCTCGATGATGCAAGCGTACCGGGGTTTAGAAGGACACTTGAACTTGGGTACGGTCTAGGCAATTGAACCAATTGTGAAAGCACCCTAAAGTACAATTCATGTTTATTTTTATAGCACTTTTACAATATAGATTGTGTCAAAGCAGCCTAACATAAAAGTTCTAGTAAATTTAAACTGTGTCAGTCCACTTTTCTGAGTTTAAATTCAGCTTGATTCTGTTCAGTGTGGTTTAATTTTCACTGCAGAAAGTCCAAACACTGGAAAGTAAATCCATCGATGTGCAGCTTCACAAGTCCCAAAACAAGCAAGTCTGTGGCGACAGTTGCAAGGAACAAAATTTTACCAGTTGACGAGTGAAGGAAAAAAAACCTTGAGAAAAACCAGGCTCAGTTGGGCATGACCATTTCTCCTCTGGCCAAACTTCTTGTGCAGAGCTGCAGTCTATGCACCATCGCGGAGAAGCTGCATGTGAGAGTAGGTCACCAGTGGGTGTTCAGCCTGGCCCACAGGACCAATGTGAAGACTCCTCTGTCTCTGGAGTTTATCAGGAATCAGTCTCATTCTCTCCACTCCTCCACGATCACCAGAGAATCTGCTCAGGATACGGCCTGGTCAAGAATTATAAATACCTCAAGAAGTGCTCTGTTGTTGGCATCATTTCTTCACAGGTTTTGGATCACATCAATAGTGCTCCACAATCTTGTACACTCAAGAGCCAGTGATAGTTGTGTGCAGTTCTCACTTGTTTATAACTGTATTTACATAACACTGTTGGCGACTCTGCACTGGTGTGTATCGCTTGCTTAGCGTGCAACTAGTGGAGTTGCGCATCGGTGGAGTTTTCTCTTTAGTGTTTCAGCAGTGACTTTGCATTACACTGAACTGGACTAAACTTCAACTGTGACAACTGGATTGAAACCTAATATATACTAAATATATACTAGAATGTTGAGCTGCTTTGGCACAATCTACACTGTAAAAAGTGCTATAGAAATAAAAATGATTTGAATTGAATAGCATGTAGAGTTTGCCGTGTGTGTACGATGTGTCTCTGCTGTTGGTTGTAAAGTGAAGTAGTTCCACACTTTTCTGGTGAGGTAAACCACTGCAACATACTCTACTACTTTTGTATTTTTGTTCATACTTTCCATGTTTCTACTGTACACCTTCCCTAAACAAGTGCCATGCGTGTGCATGACGTTATCATTTTCAAAAACTAAAATTTTAGATGTTACACAGACACAACGACGATGACATTTTTAGATTTATGCGTTTTCAGTCCCAAAAATGTCATGTAAACGGTCCCTAATAGGCTACATGAGCAGCTTGAACATTCTGCAAAATGGTTTTATTTGTGCTTTACAGACAGAATCTGAATCACTTTCAAATTGCTACCTTTAAAACCAATAAAGAGTTGGAAAGATTTAGCAAAGAACGCAGTTTTTGGTCAGCTTGATCTTTTGACTCCAGCCAGTTTATCGCTCACGGTCAGTCAAAAGTTATCAAAGAATCTAGTAAAGTGGTGTAAAGGCCTCCCACCGGATGTTCTTATCAGATGAATGCAAATGTGCTTTCCAGGATCAGACTCCTTCATCTTCATGTCGCCCACCACCTGTATCACTGAGACTGCGGGGCAGAATAAGACTGATAATGAAGAGCTGCCGCTGTTTAACAGATTAAAGTCTTTTAGCAGTCAAATGAACACCCACTGGTGTCTTTGCTTCAATAATACACAACACAGATATTACTTCCACTTTTAGTGCATATTTGTCTGTGTTTGATGTCGAGGTTCTTGGATTAGGATACATTAAATATGATTTCAAATTGATTTATTATGCACTTTGCTGACTTAGGGTGAGAGCTTTCCTTTTATCGCAAATATCATGTATAATAATGCACTTTTATAAGTATGATTCTAGAATTGCGGGTGCATTTAACATCTCCAAAATAAATTATTTTTTTTAAATATTATTTTTCAAAATGGTTTCATTAATGTTTTTGAAAAATAACAACGCAAATTATATAAAGTTATCTCTAAAAATAATGTTTTTTATTTTGTATTTAGGGACATTTTGTCTTAAAAAGCTTAACTCCCTCTATGTACAGTGTAGGGGAGGCGTGGTATTTAGAAAAAGTATTTTTTTTAATGGGAAAAATATGATGAAGGGGCGGTTGATGTGGAATTGAACCACATTTTGGTAAAAACCCAAACAATACTAACATAAAAATAAAAAAAATAAAAAAAACACTGAACTACTGAAATGTATTGAATACTTTATATCAAATGCTTTTTTGGTGATGGCAGCTTAAAGACGCCTCTCATATGGAGAAGTCATGCATTGCTTATTTGTGATTTTTGTCACAGATTTCAACAGTGTAAATATTCTGATGGTTCTGGGGGTCTCGTCTATCAAATCTGCTTTATATTTTGTGTTTTCTATTGGATTTAAGTCAGGTGGTTGGCTGCGCCATTTTACAGAGCTTTATTTTCTTTCTCTGAAACCATTTGAGAGTTTCAGTGTCTGTGTTTTTGGATCACTGTCTTGCTGAAATGTCCACTCTGATTTCATCTTCATCATCCTGATAATGTACGGTAGATGTTGGACTGAAGCAGCTGTTATTAATTTACAATGAGGAAAGGCAAAGGGTTACTGAGGAACTTCTGTGAGATTTCAGCTGTGTGGGCTTTCATTGCCTATAGATTCCTTTATTCATGTGTCCAATAATTTTTCCCTTTGTCATTTCCTTTTATTACACATAACTTAAATTGTAAACTAATTAATTTTGTTTTCTGAGCAGATATAATTATTGTTGGTTGTTATCAACATCTGGTGAAAATTTCAAGTCAACAGCATTTTGAGCAATATGTTTTCCACTCTACCAATTTTATACTGTCTCTACCTACTGAATCGTATATTTAGCTTCAATTAGTCTAATTTTTTTATCATTTTCTGTCTGTGTTCACGCTATTAAATTATATACACAATTAAAATTATATAAACAATTGCATGAAACTTCTATGTTGTGCATTATTTCTAATTACATATATATATATATATATATATATATATAAAAATTTTCTTGGAAAAAAAATTAAACCTACAACATTTTTCTAAACTAAATGAAAATTTTCATATTGTCTTTAATATTGTGTTATTATTGTTTATTATTAATATTTTATATTAATATTATATTGACATTGTATTTAATATTTCTCTAAAACATATACATTTGAGTAATAGTTTTTCTAACTAATAAAAATTTTGATTCACTTGATTTTTTTTTAAAATTTGTATTTAATATTTTTCTATAACATATACATTTAGGTATACTAGTTTTTGGACCGTTATCATAAGTTGTTTTGTTCGATATGCCCTAAACTTGGCTTCAGTGCTGACTAATCTAGTGTATATACACAAATATAGTATTGTATAGCATCCCATTAAAAACATGAGTTTAAAAGATACATTTGAGGGGACAATTATATATGTTCCTACATTCTACTCTGTTACATGAGTTATTAAAAAGAAATAACAATCTGTAGAGCACAAGCATGCACAATCTTACAACCAATAATATTATGAAAGGTTTTCGCCATGTGCTATCTGGTTTGAAGTTAGAAACACAAAATGATGGAAAATGCCACCTCTGTTAGTTAAAAGTCTGTCAGTGATTTAAAAAGTTGCCAATAAAATAATTAGTATCATAATAACATTAACAACATCAAATCATTTTGCATTACTTTACATTAATAATAAATACTGTCAATCATACAATAGTTGTATATCATTCCAGAACAGGGAAAGAATATGGGAAAATGTTTGAAATGTATTTAAAATCCATGTCTTTTAAATATGTACTATGGTAATAACTCATTTAATATAACAGCACTATACAAGAAATAGGTTTTAACCATTTACATACTGAAGGAATCAGTGCTTTTCTTCAGTTATTTCCTTTAAAACTCAGAATGCTTATTATAAAGTGGATAACTTCCCCATCTTTTGTGTCTTGAATGCAACTCTTGTAAAATCATGATGCTGATTTGTATTTTACTCATGCAGTGACACACACTGATGCAGCATCGACTTGAACAACATAATCAGCCTCTAATTGGCCTCCTTATGGTCCTCCTTGAACTGACAGCCAATCACACCCAAACATCTGCTGCTGATTTGCATAAGTTCAGCTTGAATTGAGAGGATTAGTAATGTTATTGTTTGGGCTTATTCGGTTTCCCAAGTTGGCATTCCTGTCCAAGTCCAATCTATTCCTCTTCCAATATTGATCTGCGTCTCTGTGTGTTTGCAGGATTACTTGATGACGCATATGTACGGGAACGCAGCAAGAGATGACTTGTGGAACAAACTCTCAGAGGTAAGATTTTACACATCTTCTGGGTGTGAGACCTACATCCGTGAGCAGGAATCATGGCTGGGGTCAGTTAACGCTGAGCAGCGAGTGAAATTGTGTGTGTTCAACCCACTTAAATTCAGTGAGTGAAGCTCCTGCAGGTGCTCAGAGATTTATACGCTGCATTTGGGTCAGAGGCCATTATATAACTGCACATCATCAGCAGAGCACAATTTATGCCAACACACCACCTACTCACATCAACGCATATGGGCTTTATACAAATGCCACATGGGAAAGAGTCTGGGTTGTGTTTGATTCTCTTGCTTCTACACTTGAGGTTTCACTTAAAATGGAAATGTTTCTTACAGAGGAAGGTCAGATATTGATCCAGAAAACTCATCACTGCAAACCTGCTGAATGCAAATGTTCATAGATACTGCAAATCAAGTCTTTCTGCTGATTTTGCTGATTTTAATTAGTTTATAAATGACTTGAATCTTAATTAGTGAAGTGTAACAATTGTTATCAAGCCTGATGAGTCTCAAGCATGAGGGTTTAACTTAGGTGTAGCCAAAAATAACACAAGAAGAATCTAAAAATGATCGTCTGCTGGAGGAAAGTTGACCTATTTAATGCTTGACTCTGGCCTCAGGAATACAGTATTTATTGGGTTTGGCATGACTGTACCTCTCCTGACAGAAACACTCAGGTGTGTTTTCTGTGATCCGCTGCTTCAGTTTCTCTGTCTTTTGTAGTACCACTAAAGGTTTAGCAAACAAATATTGTTACTGGCACACTTCACTTCCCATAATTCCTTCTGTTTAATTACCAGGAAGTCTAACACTGATGCTAATGCTTTTTTCATTTCATGATAATACAGCATATTTCTTTATAAACCATAACTGTTAAAACACCATTCTAGATTTAACAAACTTATTCGGGTGGATGTGTTAACCAAACAAACATGCTAGTTTGCTAAATCACGCTGTTATACATTATACAGATGTCATTTTAAAGTTTAACTGTATAATTTTAAAGTTTAAACTTTTTAAAAGGCATTTTAGGGCATGAAAGGAACTTGATACATCAAGCGGAAGCAAGAATGAAAGTGAGTGATTATTAATAAACGTAGCCAACAGCCATAATCACAGAGAAACCGAGCATTGAGTTCAAGTCCTGAACACTGAGATCTGCTTTTAAAGTCGGACGACTCTCAGCAAGTCCTCTCAGTGCTCATCTCACAAGTGTCATGACTTTAATGAGATTACTTTCAAGCGTAATCTCAACGTTATTATACTTTGTAATATACCAGCAGGACATTTAGCGGCTATCAGTGTTGAGTGAAGCGTTTTGTCATTCACATCACTCTCCCGGCTGATGGGCGACTCTTTTTCATTTTCTCTCTGAACTGAAGAGATTTAAAGGTGAATTCATACGAAGTAGCCGAACCTAGACCCCTGTATCCTCTCAGTGACCGTGTTTGTGAGGCACTGACGAATTTAGCTACATTAACAGTCTGTGACAGCCCATCATCTAATGAATACTGATATGCGCTGTGTTCATTAGCTATTCATGAAATCCAATTTGCTGCAATAATCTGGCAGTGCTTAGCGCCCACAAAGCCCTTTGTCAAGCTCACGACCCATCGCCGGACTGGCCTTCACTTGCTTTAATTATTTCCACCAGAGTAAAGGTACTGTAGCTTCCTGAAAGCCTTCCTACAGAAAATGATTCATAATAGGAACATGAGTTGCCGTCATCAGCCTCTTCTCTTCTTCTGTATTCATACGGTAAACAAACCGTGAGTCATCTACAAATGTGAAAAGTCATCCAGTTTCTGTTATATATTCTAGACACTCATCATTCAGCTTGGTTATGCTCATATTTTAATGCTCATGATGGTTATAATAATCTGTTTAAGCAAGAGTTTCACTAGTGCACATGCTTGCCTGATCTGGTCAGGTTGAAGTTTACAGAAGAGCAAGAGAGCCTGACAGAGCACTTTTGTTTCTGTCACCACATTCCCCTTTAATCCCTGGGGTCAAAATAACACACTGACTCTGTGCTGCTGCAGAAACACTGTAAACTTCCAAAGTTTTACATCCAATTTCAGACAAAAGTACCAATTAAACATAAATATGAAATGCTGCACATATTTAGGATGTGGCAAATGAAAATGATTGGAAATGTCTTTGAACCCAATGGATTTCACTTTGATCCAAAACCTAGCGGACTGCTTTCCTATCTACTACCAAAACAGACAGCTAGATCAGGAATAAAATGAAACCCCATAAATCATTGACTTTGCACTGGCAGCGATAAAGATACATCTCATATGAAGCACAAGAGGCTTGGCTCATAGTTGATTTCTGTTGTGTTTTACTTCAGTGCATTGCATGCATGCATAAGAAGGAACTTAAACAATATAAAGGCAGCACTGGATAGCAGGTGCATCACCAAAGATAGTAAGACCACTGATTTTAGCATCGGTTGCTAATTGCACTTCTTTAGGCCATAGAAATTAGGTTTTAGCACAGCACTTATCATCACGCCTGTATTCAGGTCACAGTATCATTGCGGTTATAGAGCATGGATGGAAAATTCAGTCCAGCAAAGCCATAACCTTGCAGAGATTCCCTCCAACCATAATAAAACACAGCCAGACAAGCAAGTCAAGGTCTAATAGGCCGACTTTTCATTCTAACATGAAGCAAATCTTTTTAGTTTTTTTAAAAGCAAGGAAAAAAATCCCAAATTTAATCTACACTCACTGGCTGCTTTATTAGGTACACCTGGCCAACTGCTCGTTAATGCAATTTTCTAATCGACCAATCACATGGCAGCAAGTCAATGCCTTTAGGCATGTAGATATGGTAAAGACCATGATCTGCTACAGTTCAAATCGAGCATCAGAATGGGGAAGAACATTGATTTAAGTGACTGTGAATGTGACATGGTTGTTGGTGCCAGACAGGCTAGTCTGATTATTTCAGAAACTGCTGCTCTCCTGGGATTTTCATGCACAACCATCTCTAGGGTTTACAGAGAATGGTCAGAAAAAGAGATATGCAGTGAGCGGCAGTTCTAGGGGTGCAAATGCCTTGTTGATGCCAGAGGTCAAAGGAGAATGGCAGGACTTCCAGCAGGATAACGCGCTATATCATAAAGTGCGAATCATCTCAGACTGGTTTCTTTAACATGACAATGTGTTCATTGTACTCAAATGGCCTCCACAGTCACCAGATTTTAATCCAATAGAGCACCTTTGGGATGTTTATGGAACGGGATGTTTGCATCAAGGATGTGCTGCCGACAAATCATCACGTCAATATAGACCAAAATCTCTGAGGAATATTTCTTGTAGGTTGTTAAATCTATGCCACAAAGGATTAAGGCAGCTCTAAAGGCAAAGGGTGTCCAACTTAGTACTAGGATGTAGTGATGGGAAGTTCGGATCATTTTACTGACTCGGATCTTTAAGTCTCGTTCATCAAGATGAACAAATCTTTTTTTGAGTCATTTCGTTCATTTTGTTCAATTTGCCAAAATATTTTTAAAATGTTACGAATTGCTTCCAAACACATCTAAAACTAGCCCAAAAGGTGGATTGCACGACAAATAAGTCATAAATAGAATATAAGGAGGAGAAAATAATAATTCAATGTTTACCTGCTCTTTTGTCTATGAAGGCATTTTTGTCTCTTTGCTCAGCTCACCTCTTCATGTCTTCAAATGTCAGGGGTTCTCTATATGCATATGATTGGCTCGTGATGAACGAGTGACTTAGACCCGATAGAGGACTCGAGAGATGAACGAATCAAATCTTTTTCCGGCTCTAATTGCGTATGATTGGCTCGTGATGAACGAGTGACTCAGACCCGATAGAGGACTCTCGAGGTGAGCGGATCAATTCTTTTTCCGGCTCTAAACGTGTATGATTGGCTTCTGTCAATGTGATGAAGACATGAAATGAACGATATCACCTGCACACGTGCGGATGAACGAATCACTCCCTGAGAGGACTCGTAGTTCCCAAGTCATATTGAAGATTCGTTCAAAATAAACGAATCATTCATGAACGACCCAGTACTACTAGGATGGTGTACCTAATAAAGAGTGTATGTGTGTTTCCATCAAGTTGTTAGAGTCGCTGAGTGTAGTAATGGTAACCTAATAACTAGGCCCACACGAAATCTGAGCGTGCAGAATTCTGCACATTTTCCGCAGATTTTTAGCCCATCATTAATTCTGTTTATTTACTTGAGTAAATGTGTGTAAAATCTATATTTATTCAGTTTTTTATTAATTACAGCAAAATTATTGACTAATATGAAAATGTTCATCTGATTTATGTAAAACACAGTTTGTTAAGTAATATTTTCTGTATTTTAGTAGAGATATTATGTGAGAGACTTGCTTTGTTTACCAAATGACGTAAATCTAATTGAACTTGCATTTTAAACATTGAATAAAAGTTAAAAAGATTTTTTTATTTTTATTTCACATATTAAGGTTTTAGTTATGATACTCCCAAAATTATTCCGGAGAAATCCGCAGATTTTTACTAAAATTCTCCATAGAAATAGCAAAAATAATCCGCAGATTCCGACTGGCCCTACTAATAACCAACAGTAAACAAGGCACACAAAATGGGGACATCTGATTAGTCATGTGGGTGTAATGTTCATTATAAGAGTTTATTCACATTGACCCGTTTTTGCACCAGCAGAGCGTTAAAAACTTTTTAGTTAAAATAAGGGATTTTTAATCAAAGTCATGTGGTACTTCAAAATGCACATTAACAGGGTGATGGAAATTCAACTCGGGTCTCTAGAAATGTACAGGCAGGAAAGTTTTTGCCCATATCCTTAGCAGAGATTAATTGAACCCATGTCAACCAACCCAGTGTCCAAAAAAAATAAGAAAAATTAAAAACAACTGTCGACACAACACTTGAGAGCAAAGAATAAATAAGCTAAAAACATATTTTCGGTAAATATAATTTATATACCATACACAGCACACACAATTTTTGAGTTCTGAGTGGAATACAAGTGTATAGTTAGTATTTTTCCACATTCCAGTTCCAGTGGATTCTGGGATTTTAATCAATATAGACTTTGAGTTCTTTGTTCTGACATTTGAAGTTCACCTTGATCATTCACTTTTAAATTTTTGATGTCTAAGGACAATATTTTTTATACGAAAATAAAATAAATGTTATTCATAGCATTTCCAGTGTTATGCATTCACCTACTGTCGTTTTTAAAAATGGATACAGCAGCTCAAGGTGAAACATGGAAGAAATTCTATAAAGTATTAAAACATTCCTCATACATACAGAGAGCTTTTGAAAACAATTCACTCAGAAAACTGCCAGTTGTCCACCGTGCCGAGCCATTTATAGTTGCATTTTTAAAGAATAAGGAGGAGCGGTGTATGCAGCACATTTCCCTCAGGGACAAAACTCAGTCATATTACAAGCTTTCTACATTAATGAGCCGTGAGATCCAATTTTATGTTTTACTTCTTTAAAATAGGAGGAGCAGCTCCCACTGAACAAATCAGGCCTATAAATCTAATTTTGCTCTTTTACAAGAGTCGTTCTTGTGTAGAGAAGTTAGATAACTGGAAATTGCTTTATGATAATCTTGTGTGTGCTGTTAAAAAGAACCGTAATGTTTAATTTCCTTTTTATTCCTTCAGAGTTTTTAATTATAACATAAACATGTATTTCATAATTAAAAGTCATTTCATTAAAAAATTAAAAGCCCTAGATGCTAGATTCTAAGATCTAAATAAATACTCATTAAATACATCAAATCTGGATTATTTTATGAATATGTTTCCATTTGGTGGTGCCTAAATCCTAAAGATGACAGAAAACTAACTTGCATTCATTTAAATTAGCCTATTAAGCTATATAAATATTGATATGTGTGATGTGTTTGTGTGTTTTGCGCCACAGGCCATGCAGCGGGAGGGAAAGGACATCAACATCACACAGGTTATGGACCGCTGGACTCTACAGATGGGCTATCCGGTGGTCACCATCAGCAAGAACGACAGTCTGGACAACAGCATCACTATTTCCCAAGAGCACTTTGTCTACGACACAGACGCCAAGATTCAGAATCCTGAGCTGTTCAACAAAAGGTAGTCTGCCATATGTCAGTGGTGACAGGTTGTTACATGAAAATGAAAGCCCATCAGTCAACTGACCTCTTCACATTGATTCTGCAAAAGCTCATAGATCGCTGTAGAGAATTTATTGCACAGAGGTCTGTATGTTTGCCGAACGTTGCAATGCTAAATAATGCAAAAATCCCACACATCATCCAAGAATCCTCTGATAGTTTCCTGTGATCAGATTCAATACTGTAGTTCTGTAACTGAAGAGAAGATCAGTTTATGATTAAAAGATTAAAAATTAAGTTATTTAGGAAGAAATACAAATAATAGACCATCTGGAGATTATATGCACAGCAAAAAACTAGTCTAGCTCTCCACAGCATGAAGACCCAGAGGATTTCCTCGCTTATCCATGTGATGTGAATATTTCATTGTTAGCATGTCTTTAGATGTCTGTTTTTAGCAAACGTGAAAAAAGAAAACTAGCCACAAACTAGCTTTAAGTCTGGCCAGTTAGCTAAAAACAGCATACTAGCGTGTGCTGATATTTTATTTAGAGTTTTTGTTTTCACCACTGTAAAGTGTAACCCTGTTTGTATGAATCATATTTCATGTCATGTTCACACACACAAGCTATTAAGCGACTATTAGCTGAGCATTTCATTTATTATTAGCGACCCATGCTAACCCATCACTGTCACATCCTGTTTGGCAGCGTCTGCGTTGTCGCAGAAAACTGTGTGTGTCACTGGCGAATAGATTAGTTTAATTCTGTTAGGGTGAGATGAATAATTCAATACTGCCTCTGATCCTCTTTAGAAATCGTCCTTTTGTTTAGGATCAGACACTGTTAGCGGTGCAAGAACTGACTTAAGAATTGAATCTTAATGCCGAACTGTCAGTCAGAGTGTGCGGAGTGAATGTTGAGCATTTTTGTCATTTAGATGGTAAGAAAAGTTTCTCAAATTGAGAACAAAATCAGTCCAAAAAAACTGAAATTGAAAGACAATCTCAAAACCTCTTGAGCTTATAATATCTAAACTTTGTTTACAACTTTATTGTGACTTTTTGATTAAATGTGGTTAAAACTCACATCTGTTAGAAATAGTTGAGAAGATAATTCTAGCGAGATTAAAGACTTCACAAAAGCATTTGATTTACTATCTGCAAATAATCAAAGACTTATGTTTTAGGCCCTGTTTAAACTAATAGATTTTAGATTTAAATCGCATAAGTTTTGCTACAGTTAAGCCTTCAGTCAACACTACCCTGGAGTTGTCAAGCTACTCAATGCAAATCCTCACAATGCAAACACATTTTTAAAAAACGAGGTGCATTTTCACACAATGTAAACAACTATTAAAACGCGCTGCAATTTCTTACAACATAACGGAAAGGTTTCAAGGAGACCCTAAAATGTGATGGACCTGGCTAGTTATGTTATGGTTATTTAGGCCTAATAAATACTAAAGACAGAGGAATTGGGATATTAAACTGAACAAACTCACCTCTGAAAGATCACCTAAAACTTCACTGAGCAATAGGCAGAGCACAGCGGTGTCCGTCATGTTTTTAGGTCCCTTTGAAACATGTTCATTGTGTTCCGTTCTTTTTGTGTTGTTAGTAATGCAGCTTGTTTTATTAATGTTTGTTGTCTGTGAAAATGCAGAATTTTCAATGTGTGTGCATTGTGAGTATTTGCAAACTGATGAAGATCTTTTTTATAACGTGCTGGTTTTTTTTGTAATTGGATGTGTTTTCTTTAATTGCAGCACGTTAAGCTCTCTCGGCCACAGTATATTCGACTATCTGATTGGGGCTTTTTGCTCAATTTTAAGTAGCCTACACAAAGATCAGTCTTGCATCCTTTACTTGTAAGTTCACACTACGAAATTTTGATATGGAAAACAAACACGCAAGGACACATCGGGTAAATCTTTAAAGGGAACAGTGTATTTTTTAACGTCATTCACATTACCCTGGCTACGCTGTTTTACTAACAAATAAGGGACTGCCTATTTTCATTTTGATATTAGCAACTTAACCGTCATGTAGCTACATATTTATGTAACCGTCATCTTCATAGTATGCATATTTATAACAAAACAGAGCCTATAACACTACTTCCTCCTTTTATTTCCAATGAAAAATATTGAATATTGCTGAATATCAGTTTTAATAATCAACAATAGCCATTATAAAATTACAACATACACTAAGTTTATACATTATTGGAAACTAATGAAAGCAATCAGTCAAATGTGCAGAATCAGTGAACGTGGTTACATTAATTAATGGGTTAGCCAAAAAATGTTACCTAAGATTAAGTAATAGATTCAAAAGATCAAAGTCGGGGAATATGTCGTTAGATAAAACAAATATCATGTTTAACAAATATAGTGAGATTAGATCTAGCAGTTAAGCCATCTGACATGTGCAGATTTGTCCCCTTGGCGCAGCTCTCACCTAGGATTCTGTGCTCAAAGCACCCGCTGACTGCCTGGAGCTCAGATGCACTCTTACGCTGCAGCACATGCCAGAGTGTGTGTGTTTTCAGCGATATAGTGTGGATGGAGAGCTGTTCAGAAATGCGAGGTGAAATGGCAGTGCGGACGTGGATCATTTTCCTTCTAAAACGCAGTTTTAAAATTAAAACGTGTTAGTGTAAACGGGCCCTGAGTGCGGCTAGGCTAACCCTTCACATGAAGTCCTCTGTTGTGCTAAATATGAAACATACAGGTAGAAATCTGTGAGTCGACCTCTTTCCTGAGTTCATTTGTTGAGCGCAGACAAAGGCACCTTCCTGCGAGCGTCTCCTCCTACGTGAACGTGTTTTCTGAGAGCTGCGGTTCTTCTGCAGAGGCGTTCAGAGGCACAGCGGCTCCAAGAATCAATAGCCAAGCTGTGTTGTGAGTAGGGGGCGTCTCTTTCCTGTTTTGCCCCTCAGGCGGGTTTTCATCTGAGTACCAGACAACCTGCCAGAATGCAGGGGGATTTGGCACCTTTGTAAATGCAGTGTAACACCTCACTTGAGGCTTTAAGCCAGCCTAGCAAAATGTGCTGACAGAAACATTGGCAGCAACTAAAGGAAAACAGAGAAGGTCAGTTTGAATGTATTTCACACTCCTTCTGTATGTTTCATGTCCACCGCTGTCTTATTAAAGTTCATAAAGGGTCTGCTTCTGGAGAGGTCCAAACTCCACACAGAAAAGTGCAGAAAATTATATTTATTAAACACTTGTTAACATTGTTCCTGCATTTAGATATTCTGTTGAAGTTGCTCTGTAATCCAGCAAGCAAAGAGCCTCACACTTGATGTGCTAATTGACTTCCTCTTTCAGACACACATTAAAGCAGTCTTTTTCTGGGTTAAAAAGGTTAAACACAACTCAGGCTGCAATAATTCCTTCTTTGCTCTGTTATTTACTACCACATTGATTAAATCTGACTCATCCTTTGGTCTTTATATTAATGTACTACCACAGAAGCCTATTCTTTACTGAAATAATATTGGATGGATTTGTCATTGGATGGTAAGTGGATTTTGAAATATTATCATATGTATTTAATGTTGTATATAAAGTGGGGAAATGAATATTGAACACATTGTTTGTTTGTTTGTTTTATGTTTTTTTTTTTTTTTGAAAATAGTATTTCTAAAGGAGTTGTTGACATGGAATTGAAACATATTTTGGTGAAAACCCAAACAATACAAACATAACAATAAAACAAAACAAAAAAATCTGAAAAAAAAAATGTATTATCTGTAGTAACAATCGAATGACACAAGGAGAAAGAACTGAACTACAGTACTGAAATGTATTTAATACTTTTTTAAAAGTCTTTTACTTTTTCAGTGATTAGTGCATCAACACTGCACTGAGGTGGTTCGTGGCGACCCGAGTTCAATTCCTTTTCTGATCCTTTCCCGATCATAAATCTCCACTGTTCTATCAATAAAAGTGAAAACCCCTAAAAAATAATTATAAAAAATAATTCAAGCTTAAACAAGCTTAAAGATGCCTGTCATATGGAAAATTAAGACACATGAACTGCTCAGGTGTGATTTCTTTCACAGACTTCAACCAAGTGTAAAAATTTGGATGGTTCTGTGGGTCGCATCTATCAAATCTGATCTTTATTTTCTATTTTCTTTTGGATTCAAGTCAGGTATTTGGCAGGGCCATTCTACAGCTTAATTGTCTTTCTCTGAAACCATTTGAGAGTTTCAGTGTCTCTGTTTTTGGATCAGTGTCTTGCTGAAATGTCCTCCCTGGTTTCATCTTCACCATGTCTTGGACTGAAGCAGCTAATATTCATTTTCAATAAGCAAGGCCAAAGGGTTGCTGAAGAACTACTGAGAGTTTTCAGCTGTCTGGACTTTTACAGCCGTTCTACACCTCCCTTTCTTCATGTGTTCAATAATTTTCCCTGTGTTGTTTCAATTAATTAAAAATAACTTTATTTGTATACTCATTTTGTTCACTTTGCATATATGGATTTCTTTGGTTGTTATCAACATCTGGTTGAAATTTAAAGCCAATAGCACATTTAAAAATATGTTTTCTGAGAAAAATGGTGACGTTTTCAATACTTAATTCCCATCTGGGTCATGTAACCAGTGTAACACCTATAAACCAACACCAAGTTGCTCAAACAAGAAGGAAAAAAACTTCAGTGTCTAGCATTTAAAGTGATGCTTTACCCACACAGCATTCACCAGCTGGCTTTTATTTCAGTCACTCCCTAAACTGTACTCCCATCCGGGTCACGGCACCAATTTAACCCTTCTGGTCTGATGCCCACTCACCCGTCACAAGTGGGGCTCAAGCAGTGATTTCAACGTGAGATGCAAGCAGTCTATCTATAAGAAGACTAAAGACTGCAGCCTCTAGCGTTTGTTGCTAGAGCATCAGGGGAATGAGGTTTTACCTGCACAGCACTCATCAGCTAGCCTCCATTACACACAGCAACACCAGCTTGTTGGCATAATACTCCTTAGCTTATTAAACTAAGAAAAGTTC